ATTAGATTTTTATTGTCCACACACACACACACACATATGATCATCATGTGAATTGAGGTGATGGCAATGGGGTTCATTATTGAAGGACAAAGGGAAATGATGTAGGAAATTGCTTCCCATGGTAGGAGCCTTCCCCTTGTCTTTCTCCTGTATGATTCACATATTTATCTACCTTGTTTCTTCTCGAAAGCCTCAGAATTCTCTATTTCCTGGATATTTTTAATTGTCTTACGTACTTTAATTAAAATAATTTTATTCTTTTTCTTCAATATTTCAAAAACTAAATTTTAATTACATGTGGTTTTTCTTATACAAAGGAAAAGAGGGGAAAAAACAAGAAGAAAACCTATTTCCCTTATGTATTCTGACCATAAAAGCATCTTAATAAGTTAATATATAATTACATGCGTTTTAACCGAAGGTGAACCTTAGGGACTCACTAAAATTAAAGTATGCCTTCGAGTTACCTTTTTACTAATAGAACCGACATTCATGAACTCCAAAATAATAACTTTCGTTTCTTTAAAAAAATTTTTACCTTCATATATTTAAAAAAATTTGATGAAAAATATTGTTGTTGATAAGGAAACGATACAAGAATGTTTACTTTTATCTTTGCATGCATATGTTGCTAGATGTATCATATATGGCTTCTTTAATCTTAGGATTAAAAGATAAATTAATATTGGAGGATTTTAGAAAACATTTTGATATGTTTTAATTTTTAGCAGAAAAATAAATATATATATTGATACACTTTTACACAATAATATATATATATATTTCATCATTTAAGCTAATACAGAATAGTGTGTGTGTGTGTTTTCCATGATATTTCAAATATAGATCAAGAATATACAAGATATTTAAAATTTTATCTATTTAAATATGAGTACTTCGATTAATTTAATTGAAAACATGAGTTATATCTTGAAAAAATTTAGTTTAATGAAGCCTATTACTCAATTGATCATTATTGTGTTTTTAGTTGGCCCCTGAAATTTGTGGTGGACTTACGGTTGAAATGTGAAACAGTAGCATTTGATTGTGACTGCGTGTGTGTGTGTGTGTGTGTGTGTGTGTAATCACTTGCTTTTTGGGGCAACTAAAGATATACAACTTGCTTTTAATAATTGTATTATTAGGCAGCTTTTAGATTAAGATTTTCAACCTATTCTCATAGTGGAGTGAATATGAAGGCCCATATAGCTACCCCTTCACAAATTAAAATATAACATAAAGAAGCCTGATTTGGTATGATAGATATAAATTTGAAATTTTTATACATCAATTATTGAGTTACATTTTAGTATTATCTTAATTAATTAGGAATAGCTCTCCTAATTCTATATATAGGATTCCAATCCTTATTTTTATTTTAAAAAAATTGAGTCTGTTCCGTGAATCTGATTAATATTAATACTGATAATATATGTATATTTATTGGTTCTGGAAATGAGAAGGAATGGAATCTTATCATAAGGTGTATTTGGTTGGTTAACACAAAATATCATGGAAAAATCCCTCAAATGAACCTAAAAATTATTAAAACTCCAATCGGGATTATTTCCTATATGTTAACATGTTTTTAATACACTTGACTAGTAAATAACAACACATTTCTATAATAATTTTTTATTTAAGATTTAGTAAATTCCATATTCCTTTTGTGGAATTTACGCAAACATCATTCCATTTCACATAAATTTTCGTCCATTTAAACAGTTCATGAAGGAATTAATTACGCGAAAGTTTATTGATTAATATTTTAAAAAACTACAATATCTGTTAATATATTTTAAAATTTTATTAAAACAACAAAACAAACATATTAGCATATTTTTACACAATAGTTATTATGACTATTTTTACCTTCTTTATTTCTTGTTTTTATTTAAACTAACAGGAAAATAGTTTAAAAAAATTTGCGCCTTAGAACTTGCTGACAGTATTTTCCAGCAACCAAACAGCATAAAACGGCATAGCATGAAAAGGATTATTTTTTGAAAGCAATTTTACAGTAAAAAAATTTTATTTCGATTTACGTGAAAATGTCTATAAAAAAATGAAACAACCCCCAAAAATAAAAAACCAAAGATAAATGATCAAATCCGTATTGTTAATACAAGAATTAGTTATCAAAATAGGCATTGATTCTAGTATAAACAACTTTAGCCATTTAAGCTTGAAGTCTTAAAGTCCTTGCGAATTTATAAGATGCTTTCGGGAGAGATGTTCTCGATTAAGCCTGATAATACTCGAGTATAACCTAATTAGATAATTATATAAAAAGACTTTGTTATAAGGATTAGATTAATAAGTGGGTCCCCCTTTAAAGAAGATCAACAACAGTGTCTGTTGTAATTAACTAATTACTACAGCCAAGGAATATGTTTGCTTTCGCCACGAAAACTATTGTTTTCTCAATAAACGGGTTCATGCTGATTTATATGTGGCATTACTGCTTCTGTTTTGTAATCACGCGAAGTACTTTTTCAGCAATGCGTCCCAAAACAATTAGATCTCCTTTGTAGATTATCGACGAGGTCTTATAATTAAAACTACAGGTAGTATTATTAAAACATTTTCACTTTTCCGAATATACCCTTTGTTAAATTAATTATGCTGAAGTAAATTTTTTATCTGCTAGAAGCATTGTTTGGAAATAAATGCATGAATTACTCTTAACACTGCATAAAATACTTTGTAAATTGAACCATGGAAGCTGCAAAAATTAAATATGTCTGATAACAATAAATGACGGGACTTGGGAATATATAAAGAATACTCTCTTCGTTTCATAACATATTCATCTAGTCTTATTTATAAGTTAGTTTCAACCGAAAGTAAAATAAATAAATAAATCTTGTTGATTGTGTTTTAAAATTTAACAAATTTTTAACTTTGCCTGTATTTAACGTGCAATATATCTTACGAGAATAAAGTATGTACAATAATAAATAAATAGTAAAATTATATATTTATATATAAAAATTTGATGATGTAACCTAAACTGGACCAAAAAAATCTTCTTCCCCTACTTTGTTGGTTATTTGATAAAAATGTGTATTAAAATTTTTCTAAAATACTGTGTCTAATCATTTCCATAATTGTGTTGGAACTACCCTTAATAAAAATCCCCTTAACATGTGCAATCAATATAAATAGTTTAAGAAATGTAAATTTAAGAGAACAAACTGAAGACTTATAATTAGAATCAAAATAAATCACTTAACTAACATCTATATTTACTATTCAATAAAGTTATTATACTCATCCGATCAAGAAAGAAACAAGCTTAATATCTTGATGAGGGGGGACATTATATGACTATGAGTTGTTACCAAAAAATAATATATTTACAATCAGGTGTTATGAGAACGCGTATCAACAAATCAGGAAAGGGGAACCAAATGAAGAAGATGTTGGTAGTGATGAATAAATTAGGATTAGGTGGTGGGAATAATTATATATGGCCTCCTATTATTAATATAAGAGTTCGTTTGACTTTTATTTTGGTCATACATAGAAGATTCTAATATATTTTGTCTTTCATATTTATTCATTTTTTTGAGGTAGTCTTAATAGTAATTTTAACCAATGTACTTGATTAGTAAAAATATTTTATGAAAGAAAATACTTATTTATTACAAAAAAAATTAACTTAACTAGTTTTCTTAATTTACTCAAATTAGGTAACTAGTTTTTATATTAAAAATAGAAGTAGTATAAAAGAAAAGAGAGTAAATTTGATCATGGTCAACATCAAAGAGGAGCAAGTTGAGACAAGTGAAGTGCAAGTTGAAGGGAATAGCCGAATAGGAGCCTCTTGCCTCCAACCTCCACAAATCAGATGACTCTGAGCTGACTCAGCTCATTATTGTTGCCTTTCCCTTCTCTGAGCTGTGTGATACAACTCTCCTATCCACTCCCTCTCTTTTCTCTCTCTCAACCAATTTCTCATTATTCTCATATATCATATCCTCCTAACCAACAGGGCTTTACAGGATTGCAAATCTTGTGCCTCCCATTGGTCCACATCAGCTTATTAAAGTGGAATCCCGTTTACTAATTCAATAGCCTCTTGTTTTGTTTTGGACAGAGCCAAAGCCAAGAAACCACCCAGGCCTCTGCTTCTCTCTCTTCTTTTCAACGCATATCGTTTTCTTCATGCTCCAATTGTTTTTTCCCCTTCCAACTTTGTATCTGGTTGTATCCTCCAAATTTAACAATCAAAACTTTCACTTTTCACTAAACATGTGATTTTGATTATAGGACAAAGTTTATGAAAGTATATATTTTTTAGGTGAAATCTAGAATTTGAGCATTCAACATTGAAAAATATTTTGCTAAGAAAACTTATAATTCCCAACTAAAACCTCACTACTGCTCGCTCAGTAACAACGCAAACTGTCATGTTTGGAGTAGGTTAAAGGTTAAAAATTTGGTGTTGGCATATTAATATATGCATGTTTAAAAGTTGATTGTATTGGGGGGAAAAATCTAAGATCTGTCCCATGTCAATTACTTTGGATTTGAGCCCTTTAAAAGTAAAAGATTCTGTTGAGAAAAATTATCCCCAAGTAATTAAAAAGCTCATCTATATCAATCACTTTGGAGGTGTCAAAACGTGGTTTGAGAGAGGAAAGAAGATTGTTATTCATGTGAAAACATGATTTTGGATTATGCATATATTCTCCCCGCTGTCTTTCATCTCCTTCCAAATCTTACCTAAAACATTCATACATATATGATTCGATTTATTGAACTATTCTCTTTCACAATCTACCAATAGACTGCGGTGGAGGTGAAAGTGATCTCCCATTTACTCTTCTTCCTCTTTTTAATGATATCTCCCATTTGCTTCCATTTCACTCATAGCTCATCTAATGATGGACCTAACAAAAGTTTGGAAGTTAAAACATTCACCATCTTCACAATACTACCAGATCTTTAATATAAAAACTAAATAATTAATTTAAAAATATTTAAAAAATTAATTAAGTATGTTAATCTTTTTAAACTATAATCTTCAGTAATCAATATGAATATTCTCTCACACCCATTTTCAAACATGTTCTGTCATCTGTGACCTTCAAGTTCCCATTTGATCTGTACGTATTTTGCAATTCAAATACATATGTACAAAAGAAACAGCCTTGAAAATCCACTTGATGATCAAATCAACAGCCAAACCCTACTTCATGCATCATTCATCAACAACCACACACCATTAACGGAGACAGGGAGACTTTTACATCCAGATCCTTTTGGATATTGTCCGTACCCTGCAATTCTTGTTATTTTCAGTACTATTTTCAGACACCTTTACCATACACCTCCAAATATCTCACAGTACTAAGAGTGGAAAAACCTAACTGAATCTTAGGAAAACACCCCCAGAAATCTTTTTTTTTTTCAAAATACCAACTTAATTTTGAGAATTATTGTTGTTGTTGTTGTTATTAGTACTGTCTCCTTGCCAGCTCCAGACTATGTCTTTCAGTGCAGGCCTCACTTCATCCTCACAGAACTTCATGTACTCGAGCGTATCGCCAGATGACTTGGACAATTCCACCACCGCCACCTCCGGCGCCACCTCGAACACCTCCACCGTCATGGCTAGCTTCCCCTTCCTTCCCTCTGTTTCCCCCTGCATCCTCACCTTAAAATCCTTCCTCCCTGTGATCTTAAAATTCAGCTTCTTCGCCACCGTCTCCAGCTTCGCCACAACCGTCGGAGCTGAAAGCTTCGACAGGAACATCGACGGAGACCTCTTTCGTGTCTCGAACAAGCTCCTCAGATCAAACCCATTTGACAGAGATGAGATTATCTCAAACGCATTGTAAAATGGTCGGGACGGTTTTTCTGATCTTACTACTGCTTCTCCTCCTTCTTTCTCTTTAATTTCATTCTCCTCCTCGTCGAAATCGAAACCTGGTTCCTTCTTTATCGAGAACGCGATTGGTTTCATGAACCCGATTTGAAACCATGGGTCCTTCATGATATCTGGGATCGAATATCTCTTTTCTGGGTCGGCGACAAGAAGATTAGAGATCAAATTCTTAGCTTCGGGTGAAATCCAATCTGGTAATTCGTACTCAGCTTTGAATGCCTTCTTGTAAATCTTCATAATATTCTCACCCGGAAATGGCAGATACCCAGAAAGAAGAGCATAGAGAATCACACCACATGACCAAATATCAGCTTTGGATCCATCATACCCTTTCTTCTTCAGCACCTCCGGCGCCACGTAAGCCGGCGTTCCACACGGCGTCACGAGCATTCCGTCGGCTCGACGCTGCTCCGGCAGTGCCGACAACCCAAAATCAGAAACCTTCAGATCTTCGTTCTCGTCCAAAAGAAGGTTCTCAGGCTTCAGATCACGATGCGTGACTCCACGGCTGTGACAGAAATCAATGGCGCTAATCAATTGCTGGAAATATTTTCTCGCGACATCTTCCTTAAGCCTGCCTTTAGCAACCTTGGAGAACAATTCTCCACCTTTGACATATTCCATGACCAGAAAGATCTTTCCTTTTGTGGCCATAACTTCCTTGAGCTCGACGATGTGAGGATGCCGGACCAATCGCATCACGGAAACCTCCAGCTTGATCTGCCTCACGAGCCTCTCTTTCTTGAGCTTCTCTTTCTTGATGACCTTAATCGCGACGCTCTCGTTCGTCACAAGGTTCCTGGCGTAATACACCTTGGCGAAGTTTCCCTGACCCAGGACCCTCCCCATCTCGTACTTGTTGAACAGAATGCTCCGGGGCGAGTCGTTCTGTTCTGACTCTGATGCGGGGCCTGCGCGTTGACTCGGGCCATATCGCCGGGAAGGGAAAAAGGGGGGCGGAGATGGTGGTAGCGGTGGCGGGGGCGGCGGAGGGAGGAAGAAGAACGGAAGGTTAAGAACAAGTAGTAATAGGAATTGCTACTCGTAATTTGAGAAGAAGAAGGGATAGACTAGGAGGTAATTAAGGGAAGGAACATGGAGAAATGGGAGAGACCCAGGTCGAAAAGAATGAATCTTTTCCAGGAGAGAGGGGTACGACGAATACACAACATGGCGAAGAAGCCTGTGGAGGGGCTAAAGGTTCTCATGTTGCATATATGAGAAGAGAGAGGGAAGACGATAAAAAAACCAGAGAGGAGATAGGGTTTACGAGGGCAAAAATAGGAAAGCGATGAGAACAGAGGAGGAAGCAGAAGATTGGGAATGGATTTAGTAAGAGACAGCGAGAAACACTGGGCAACGATGATCCAGAATCCACGGTTTTAAAATTGAAGAGCAGAAATATCTGTGTGCTCAAAATAAAATAAAATAAAATAAAATATATTTATTATTTTTTTAAGAAAAAAATAGGGTTGAAATTTTGGAACAAGAGTGCGGTGACGTGGGGCCATGCGACTCATTAATTAGACCTACTCTCTCTCCCGCGCATTCTAGGTCTAAGCATTGAATTAAAGTCTTAATTATTTCGTCAGGGTTAATTATGGAATTAATGAGCGGCGTTAAAGCTCTTAATTAATTAATTAATTAATTAAGTAATGATTAGAGGGGTATGGCCTATATCGGGTTGGGAGGTCGCTTACCTGCCGTTTCAGCTTCTTTCACTCTCCTTTTCTTTGACTTGTCATCTTAATCACTATACCATATTTATATTATTTATATTTAAATTTTGATATTTTAAAGAAATTCTAATTCTAATTCTAATTTATGAAAAATAAATAAATTTCAATTATTTATATTTTTTTAATGACAATGAATACTAAGCTGGATGCGAAATTCTAATCTTAGACCTATATAAAGGGAGATGAAGACGCTTGTTGTTAAGTACTCGTCCAGTCCTAATTTTAGGGCAGGAGGAGTGCATAATAAAGAACAATAACAAATATAAAAAATTTGATGTAACTATTGTGCTTTAAATTTAATCTAATAATTGAGATTAAAAGAATTGAAAAATCAGAGGAAAGCTAATTGCAGCATTCGAGATTGTAAAACAAAAAAAAAATCATATTCAATAATAATTGGAATGGTTTTCATTTAAATAAAATTTAAATGGTTCAAAATTAATTTAATTCTTATAATTTTTTGAATTTTTATATAAAATTTATGATGAAATAATTTTTCACTAAAAAATTTTAAATAGATATTGCCTGAATTAAATTCAATCAGACGGGTAAGACAGAAAGGGAAAAACAGAGGAAGGGAGAAAGAGTGACGTGGATGGAAGTGGACTCCAGCTGGGAGGAATTTTAATTTTTCAGGTTCAAGTACCCTCCACATAATTCCCGGCTTTTATCTTTTTGAGATTGCCATTTTTCTGATGAAATTTAATTTACATCATTTAAATTTAATGAAATATTTCCCCAGTTTTTTATTATAAGAGATAATTAACTAAATTATGTTATTTAAAATGTTGGTTAAAATTAATTGAAAACAATAAATGTATAAAAAATATAATCTTTTGTCAAAAATATCCTCATCTACATGGATGAAAGATAACGTGTAGAAGAGAGAATATGTAAGAATTAAATACGATGATATGAGTAATATGAGTAATTAAATGAGTATAAAATGAGAAATCAATAAACAAAATTTAAGATAACTTTTAAATATATCTTATAATACTTCTTATAACAAGGAATGGAGGGAGAAATTATGACATTATAATAAGTAAAAAAAATCCAAAAAAATACTTTTAAAATTTCAAAATCTCAAATTAAAAATAAATATGAAAATATGTTGTCATTTATTTTTTAAATATTATTAATTGGTATTCAAGTGTAGTAAATATGATTAATTTAAAATTTAAAAATATAAAAATACAGTAGTTTTTTTTTTTCTGGGTTCTCCCATAGACACACTGTACAATATTCCATCAATCCGAAGAAACAGGCGGAAGGCAGTCAACTACCCGGCGCGGAACCTCTCCACTTAGGCATTCTCTCCATTTCCCTCCACTAACGCAAAACCATGTCGTCTCCCACCTCTCCACCAATCAGCTTCTTGTATTCCCCTCCACTTGGTCCAATAAAATCGTTTTGCAGTGGCCTGACCTTTAAAAAAAAAAAAAAAGACGCTTACCCAGACAAGAGAAAAAATCAGAGATCTCTTCCAGTCTTCCTTCACTCGTACTGGCTGAGAAACAGCAATGGGACCTGATTATAATTCTTCCTTATTTGTTTCCACGCTTTAATTTCTGCTCTCTCTTTCATTAGTTACTTAGAAATATAAGTAAATGATACAATTATATAAATATATATATATATTCACTAGCTAGACGCACGAAACTAGAAACCTAGTTCTAATACGCAATGGAGAAAATTGACGCGGTGGACAAAATTAGTAGTTTAATATTAGAGATAAGAATATATGCTGGCTATTATTATATGAGGAAAACAAGCCAAGTTGGAGATGGAGGGGACATAAGCAGAAATATTTTCAAATGTCAGAAAAGGAAGAAGAGGAAGGAGAATAACAATGCGTGCAATTTTTAAATCAATAATTGAACTTATGGGATTGGACCTTTCATTAATCTAATCAGCCACATAAGCATCTTGATTAGGTTACTGATGCCTGATTAACTCCTACTTTTTAATATCAAAAATATCCTCTCCACAGAGCATCTATTTTTTTTTTTTTGTCATACCTCATACACTCATCATTGTTTACTGCCTTGTACATATTGTTTAAACTCATAAGTCATAACTTCACGCTTAAGAAAACCTCAATACTATGTTTGGATCAGGGAAAAGTAAGGGGAAAATAGGAGGAGGAAACACTAGGAAAAAGCTTTACCAAATAGTAAAAAAAAAAAATTTACTAATTTTTGTAGTTTTTCTTTTTAGTATTCTTTCCATCCTAATTTTCTCTTAATCGAAACGTGGGTAGAAAAGCGCTGGCTTTTCATTTAGATTACAAAGATCTTACCGTTTTATCTATTTGAACAATTCCAATTAATTTGTTTCCTATTTGATCTTTGCTTTTTGCAAGAGCAATCATAGATGAAACTCCTCCAATTCTTAATATAAAAATTAGTTTGATTAATGTAATTAGATTTAAAAAAATTAGTTAGGTTAGTTATTTGTGACAAATAATTGTTGTCTTTTCTAAAATATTATTGCTAATCATGTGTATTAATTAGAATTATCATTTGATAAAATTTTTAACATATGCAATGACTACAAGAACTATTTTTAAGAAATAGACAAATACAAGAGACAAAATGAACTGGGGTCTTATATGTATGACTAAATTGAATGTTAAACTAGTTCTTATATTAAGAATAAGGATTAGTTTGATAATATTATTTTTCACCCCAATTCATAATGAAAACATATTATTCTTGAGTTATTGATTAAAGCGGCCGGCAAATTGTTTCAAACATAGTAAAAAAAACAAAAATTTGTATAAAATATGCAACTTGCAATTCAAAATCCTCCGGCCAAAACACCCTTGCAAATTCACTACCATATGATTAAGTATCTTAGTCTTTTTATATTTGAAGAAAAAGCAAATAATAATAAAATTATAAACATGGTTGACCAAATTTCTTTATCTATTAATTGAAGTAGTCACGGAATGAAGGACAACTGTGGTACAAATGTAGAAACAAACGAACCGTTTCGTGGCCTAACGATAAAAGCATTCATCATATATATAAATATATTTGTGTGCGTGTGAAGCATCGGCATTTTTTGGAGGAAAAAAACTTTCAATTTATACTTATTTATTATTTTTAATTAATTTTTTGATTTACGGAATGGGTTATTTATAAAAAAGAATTCAAAGTCCACTAATAAGGCATTGCGTATTTCTGCTTCTTTCAAGTTGGAAAGACAATCACGTGAGAGTTCTTTCAGGCGGAAAATTGATGAAGACAGTCACGTGACATGCTAATTGCAGTTCGCCACGCAAAGCTCCTGAACATGGACGCGAAACCTTTAATTAATACTTAAAAAAATTATCTCTTTAATTATTATTCCCATTAATAAAAATTCCGTATAACATAATACACGTAATCAATAAATAAGAATAGTTGATGGCAAAAATTAATATGAATAGTTTGAGGGGAAACAAATCACTCTCCTTCCTGTTCTTACTATATAAATTTTTAATGAGAAAGGCGCTTTTAGCATTAGGTGCTCAGAAGTTTTTTTAGATGTAAAGGTGTCCTGAAAATTTAAAATCGTAATAATTTTGCCCTCAACAGTTAAAAATTTTAACAATCAATTTGGCTATTTTGACAGTCAATGTTAGTTTTTTAACGGTATGGGATAAAATTGTTACAATTTTAAATTTTTAAGGCAAATTGGTATTAAAAAAAAAACTTGTGGATATCCAACACCCCTGAGTGAATATTTTTAGAACAAATTTACACCTTAACCCTTAAGTAGCAAAAGAATTATATGGAAACCCTAGCATATTTCATAGTATCTCTAACTAATTATAAAACTCCTCTAACCATTGAGGGTAATTTTGATATTTCACAATTATAGAACTCCTCTAACTAATTTTAACTGACTCTATCATTTTATATAAAATTATTAAGAATCAAATGAAAGTAAATTAATATGTTATACTCCTCCGGTCCTAATTATAAGACCCAATTGACTTATTGAGGAGATTAAGGAAGTAAGTTAAGTTGGTTATTTATAATAAATAAGTATTGTCATTCCTAAAATATCCTTGCTAATTAAGTATATTGGCTAAAACTATCATTATTAGAAGGATTATGTTGGAAAAAATGCATAAATATAAGAGACAAAATGGATTGGGTCTTATAATTAGGATCAAATAAAAAGTCAAATTGGGTCTTATAATAAGGACCGGAGGAGTATTTACTATCAATATAAACTCAACAATTATTTCTTATATTTGGAGTGGAAGCATCGGAGGAGAAGATTATTTTACAAAATTTGCTTCTCTGCAGAAGCTATCCATGACGAGGGAAGCCAGACCAGTGAGTGGAAGACACAAGAAATTCCAAACCCAAATCATCCAGAAGGACCTTCACAGGAAACAGCGTAACGTTGTCATCTGCAGAAACAAAACAAGGCAAATCATGTGAAAGAAACATAAAAGAAAAATGAACAGAGCATCGTAATAGGAAACAACAAAAGATCTTAAGCCCTGCCTGCTCTATCTTAAACCCTGTTAGCTGTGTTCCAGAATCCTCCACGTTTAAGCATCGTCTGGCCACAATGTCGCCACCATCCCATCCAAAAACATGATAAATGGATAATTCTCACAACCCCAACTAAATATGAGTTAAAAATATAAGAAGAATTTTATCTTACAAAATATAAAAGTTTTTTTTTGTCAAGATTCTTACACATATTTCTTATACTCTCTCTAATCATTAATATAAGAACTCGTTTGATTTTTATTTTGTTCTAAATATAAGATTCCAATCTATTTTGTCTTTTATATTAATTTTTTTTATAAAGTAGTCCTTGCAGTAATAGTGGTTCTAGCCAATACACTTGACTAATAAAGATATTTTAGGAAAAACGACATTTATTTATTACAAATAACTAACATAACTAATTTTTTTAATCCACTCAAATTAGTCAACTAGCTCTTATATCAAGGACCAGAAGTAATATATTACCTGTATTCTTAGCTAATGGATGGGTCGGATTCAGTCTTAAATATAGAACATAAATTCATTTTATCTTTTAAATTTGTATTTTCCCCCCCTTAAAAACGCCTCTATTGATTGTAAATGGTTCTCAACAAGGGATTACAATGCATATATCAAAAAGAATAATTTAGAAAATTCAATACTTATTTATTATAAATAATTAATTTAATTAATTTTTTAATATCCAATTATTAGCTCTTAACCCTAAATTTACCCCTTAATCCTAAATTTAGCTTGTCGAGTGAGCTCCGTCATATGAGTTTATGATGTCATTAATCAGATTTTATCCACATCTCAATCCACTGTAAAATGCGGTTGATGTTAATTTTATTGTCAAAGGTTGTTGTGCAATATGGGAAATCGGGAAACCAATCCGCCATGGCCACATCAAGTCCTTATCTTTGGATGCTTACTATAGGGTTCCTCAGAAGCTTATGGAGTGCCCTAGAAATGAACCCTAATCCCATCTCTCCAACTTGCTCACAACAGTTAACCCCTCCCTCCTTTTAGCGCATGCAAAACAATAGTAGTTTTGAGAATATCTGGCTTTAGTAACCAACAACATTTTAAGCAATAAAAGAATGTTTAGATAAAAAAAAAGGAATAATATCAAAAAATTACAACATGTTTAAAGGAATATAATTATAAAAAATACATTCAATATAATAAATAATAATAAGTTCATACTACTCACTTATTATTAGCACTTTTTCATAATTATATTATTTTCTTGTGATCTCGTAATAATTTTCCTGAAATAATATTTTTACAACAGGATTTTCTTTTTCGTTGGTGACAATAGAGATGATGTAAAATGGATAACCAGTGAAAATTTTATAAATGAGATGTAGATTCATCGATTTTTCACCTGTACAAGACAGCCAATATAAAAAGAAAAAAGTAAAGAATTTGGGTCAATATAATTTGTAATCTTTAAGGTTTGTTCTCATTTTAGTCTTGATCCCTCAAGTTTCAAACCACGGGTTTTTGCCCATTAAATTTTTTTTATTTAAAACATCAACCTTTATAATTTAATAAAAAATTGTACTATTTTGTCTATTGAGAGACTAAAATCTGTGATTTGAAATTTAAGAGATCAAAATCAAAATGAAAATAAACTAAAGGGATTAAAGATTATATAACCTGAAGATTTTTTTTGTCTTATTAACCTTTTCTGCATTGGTTGAAAGTCTTTCTCAATATCGATTTAAAAACCGACACAAAAAGTTTTTTTTTTTCCCAGTATGGTATAAAAAGTTCTAGACTTTCCGTGATTGACTTTATACAGGATATATAGAACGAGTACACAAATTCTTTTTTAATTGTTTTAAAAAGACTTTTTTATGCTAGTGTACGCTTTTTTCTTTTATAAGTTGTTAATAAATGAGTTAGATAAATAATTTGGAGAGATTAAAAAAATTAATTTAGTTAGTTATATATCAAATGTATTTTGACTTCATTGTACATTAGAACTATTCAATAGGGATATTTTTTAGAACACATTATAAATCTTAAAAACAAAATAAATTTAAGTTTTATGTTTAGGATAGAAGATAGTGCATATATAATTTAAATATAAATAATATATGATATTGAGAAATTTTATATTATAGATTGATGTGTGTGTGTGTGACTAATGCCCCTCTTTTTTTTTTTTGGATTACTCCATCCGGTATCCCAGGGAAATAGGCGTCTTTCAGCCGTGACAACGTCTCCAGACTAATCCGGATTCGGAGGCTTACAAGGATCCATACGGACGGCGCCCCTGGCCCCTTGAAGTGTTGCGTTCCTACGTCTCGAACCCGAAATCCGTGGTTAAGCTAAGACAATCCCAGTCAGTCGACCTAACCCCGCGGGGTTATGCCCCTGTTTTATCTTTTTGGTTTTTTAATGAACACCACCGCCCTTTATAAAAGTACATACATAGATTACATACATATGGAGAGAAGATGTGACAATAATATTTTGTGTCAGAATACGATACTTCAATTTTCACCTTGCAACCCAAAATCACATTTAAAAAAAAAAAGAGACCAAATTTATTTAATAATTAATAAAAAGTAGTCATACGGTGAAGGAAAACACTCTTTCCAGCGTAACAAATGAAACTTGCCGTGCTCCATTGTCTATTCCGTGATAAGAGCGAACACCAATATTTATATATACAAGGCATAAAAATGTCCCCCCCCCCCCCCAAAAAAAAAAAAGGAACATATACATATAATCAAAACAGATATTAAATTATTGATGTTTAATTTGCTGTTCAAACTTAACATTATGTATAGTACACATCAAAGAGACCAAATCTGCAACTTGGCACCGCGGGGGAACCTTCTTGTGTTTTGTTGTTGCATTTTTCCCTTCTTAAAGAAAAGGACAATCACGTGGCATATATATTAAATTAATATAAATATTTTCCTAAAGCGGCTGTTTTTTAATCAAGTATATTGTGAGATACTAAATGTAAACAACTCTTATTGATTTGCCTGGAAAAGCTGTTTTACTTTTATAAAGTTATTAGACTCAATTAGTTTTAATTATTAATTGACATTGTTAGAGGCAATATCCTCATGGATGCCAGATAGACAATAGTAAATCGCTCAGATTAATCATAAGTGGAATATAGGGACACACTCCTTAAAAGAATATTATTATATTTCGACGGCTTCAAGGCTAGAAATTTCCCAATGTGATTCATGCCTCTCACATAATTCCAATTCAATATTCAAAAAGAGGCCCCCCTACGAAATAACCTCTTCATCCATCTCTCTAATCATTTGCATTATTTTGTTAATTAATTGGACAAGAAGCAAAAACGCCAACATTTTTGAATCTCTGCAGTTGATTTGCCTCCCAAGACAAGTTACCCCCAACTTTCTCTAATTGAAGCATCTTTGGATGAGTGGACTTTGGGAAAAACTACAAGTAAATTTTACAATTTTGCTCTCTAGCACTTAGTACAAAAAATATTTGTCTCAAAAAGTGATTAGGGATGTAATATTTTAACTCAAATCTCATAAATATAGACCCCTAATTTCAAACTTACTAGATTCAAACATTAAAAAGAAAATTGTTCAAAAATTAGTTTAGATAAGTAGAGAAAGAGGAGATATCTTCTTAAAAATTGGATCGGACAAATTGGAGGCTTATATATATATATATATATATATATATGTATATATACTCCTCCGATCTAAATATAAGACCTATTTTGTAGTGTAAATAGGGATGCTAAGCTCCTTCTGAAAGCAGAGATATTGCAGTATAAAAGTAGTGATGTACTTTGTTAATTTAACTATATTCAGTCAATTTTCAAATATTTTTTTAATTAAAAGGACAAATATTAACCTGCTGTTACAAGCGATTGAATCCGCAGCTTTTCATTTATAAGAGAATATCAATGTCAGTAGGCTATGAGGTGCTCTACAATTCTCCAATGAATTGGGTAGATCCATATCCCCTAGAAACGTAGCAAGCCCATGGCATAAAACTACGATGCAGGGATGAATACAGCCCATTACTGCTACATTTGGGTATGTTGGTCCCATCTCCAAGAATGGGCTACCTCCGCTCTAGCCCATAACCAAGCATTGTGATCCGAGCAGTTTTCTATAGAACCAAGTTTTGCAAAGCTGCGAGGAGTCGTTACTGTTTTGTATTAAGGTCCTGAGGTAATACATGAGAACATGAAAAGTGTAATTATGAGGCTACAAGCACAAATTGCTTCATCCCCCAAGAGAGACTAAAAGAATGATCTTGATGAGATCCAAACAAAGCAAGTGCAGAACTCTGTTTTAGGCAAAATCATATTCCAAAGAAAGATTACAACTATTTCCAACGACTTGGATAAAAAGGGATTCCAAGTTTCAGTGCAATGGTCCTCACATCAGAGAGACAAAATTGAACTCAAATGTGACAGGATAATGGTCATGAATAATACATGAATCAATAAATCATATGCTGAACGCCTTTATTCAAATTAAAGAATACTGTCACCTAAAGATTGTAAATAACTCTTAACACAACAAAGATGAAGTATGAACACAATGAGAGAAGACAACCTAGGACAAAAGAATATTGACAAATAAGGGGAAAAAAGCAACCTCTGTATGTTCAGAAAATAATGTCCTCATCTCTAGCTGTTGTTGCAGACAACAAATTGTGGGCTGAATTCAATGAAATTCCTCTCTGCAGCGCCAGCTTCTCAGCAAACTGTTCCTCTGCAAAATTCTCAGCTGATGCCATTTGCTTCTCTATTTCTCTCTTCTTATAGCCCTGTATCTTCTTCAACCTAAAGAAGTCCTCTCTTTCAAGTTCATCCAACTCTCCCTTAATATAACTAATGGTATTCTCTATTCTAGGCTTCACCACATTCTCAAGCGCATTCACTCTTCGATTTGTGGTCTTGATTGCCTCATCGAGGGTCAAGAACGAGGTCTGAAGTGAAGCAAGCTCAACAAGAACTTCAATGGCCTTTATATAAGCAGCACGACAACTCTGAACTTGCTGGCCACCTCTTGCTAAACCTGTAAGATCATTCTTAGTGATGTCACCATCCTTTGTGTATTCAAATTTCGGGAGTTTAACACCAGCCACATTCTCTTGTCGAGAGCGAACCTTGAGGGAAGCTTCTCGAACATTCTCGAGCACAAAGTGCTTGATGTTATCACCAGCAACGTACTTGGCCTCTGTTAAAGCAAAAGAAGAGCCCTTCATGATTTCCCCCATTGATTCCTTTGTTGACACTATCTTCTTCAGGATCTGACGGAACTGTACCGTCAAGGCGTCGCTCTTCTTCTTGAGAAGAGCATGGCCTCGCGTAGCTCCCACCAGTCGAGCTTTCATGACTCCAAGCATTGTCACGGTAGGGACCACGTTAAGACGTTGATTTTGGCCCGACATTTTTTTTCCTGAAGATCAAATCCAGATATTGACATGGAGAAGTTATCGGAATTTTCATGGGAGCCAAACGGAATCAAAGTTAGAGTTCGAATGAGGTTTGATCTTCACTAAGAGCAACAACACAACACAGTATGAGAAAGTACACTAAAAACAAAGGAACTCCGCAGTGAGACCAGAGAACAGATACTGCGTCCGAATATATATATATGTAAGGTCAAATCAATGAATCAAATTTTACAGTTACATCGTGGCAATGCAACAGAAATTCACAGCAGAATCGCCAGATGCAGATTGGTGTCATTGTAATAAACGAGAAAAATCGAGCGAATTCCGCTTAGAGAGAGAGAGAGAGAGAGAGAGACAAGAACTTGCCGATCGGAGATCGAGAACGCAAAAAGAACAGGGCAAGAAGAAAGACGAGGGGGAGGAGAGAGGGGGGACGGGGGTGTCAGGCGGGTTGACCCAGATCATCAATATTTTTTATTTTTTTAATTCGCATTTGGGCTCCGATTGGGCTCAATCGTCTTATTGGGCCAAGACAATCACATTTAAACAAATCTACCGGTAACGCGCTCATTAAGATCCCATTAATTAATTATTGTTGGGAGAGGTATTTATGTTTACTCTCCAACAATATCTCAAATAGAATTATTTCTAATAAAAATAATACTACATGTGTATTAACAAAAAGGAAGATATCACCAGTTGAGCTCTCTTACAAATGAGAAATATAAAAAGATTGGCCATTAACAAAAAGGAACATTTACTTGGAGGTCATGATAAGTTGCACTGTCACCTTGTGTGGATATTAGGAAATATATTCTATTATCGCGTTGATATTTAAATTGACCTTTTCTTTTGGTAGTATTTGTTTAAAAAGGTTGAATTTAATTTTGGGGTATGATTAATAAGTATGATTTTGATAAATTTAAGGGCTAAGTATTCCGTTAAAGCTGGAAAGGTCATCAGGACAAAACAAGAGCCGAAGGAAAACAAAATCACACGCGAAACATGAAAACCAAAGCGACAACACAAAGGCACCCCGTGAACCATGAAACCCAAAGCGACAGCACAAAGGCACCCCGTGACCATGAGGAAAGCAACGGATATGTAATTATTGAAATAATTGTTGGAGACTCGAATGGTGGATATGCAAGCATGATAACTTTTATACTGTTCTATATCTTCATGAATCTAGGAACTTATGCTTGCATTGTATCATTTGGTTTGCGTACCGAAACTGTTAACATTTGAGATCATGTAGGATTATATATGAAAGATCTTTTTTTGCTCTCTCTTTAGCCCTATGTCTCTTATCCTTAGGAGGTCTTCCTCCGCTAGCAGGTTTTTTCGAAAATTCATTTATTCTAGTGTGGATGGCAGGCAAGCCATACTACTTCTGATCCTAATTATAAGATTTTATTTGTAGTTTACAGAATCAGAAAGGACTTGAGGTGGTATTAAAGAGGAAGAAATGTAAAGCGAATGACTTTGGGTACTTATTATCAACAGAATCAGATCTATTATGTCCAGATCTGATTTCAACCATTCAAATCTCCTTTTTTTTTTGAAAAAAAAATAATTATTTTAATAGGAATGTGATTTAAAATAAAAATGTTTTCTTACTTAACCGTCCAAATGTCATATTTTCACTTGCAATTTTTAGGATGATCCCATAAGCTCCGCATGTAGCCACATTGATCAATAAGTTGCCAAACCAAAAAATCATATCATAATATCATCTCTAATCCTAAATATAATATTTAATTTATAGTACAAATTATACTGTAAATTATATTTTATATTTAAGATTAGAAGTAATACGAGTACTAATTAACAATGACTCCCACTGCGGCTAACCACGAAAACAAACAAACAAATCTGCGGCTGATATCCACAGACAAACCCATCGAACTTTTGAGCTAATGAAATATTTTGGCAACAATTACGATATTCAATGAAAAAATCACATATAGTGGAGCCCAAAATAATTAATTAAACTCACGCCAACCTTAAGTGGCCAAATTAAAGCCGTACACCGACTAAATGCCTTATATATATATATTAATTAAACAATAATATTGTCAGCACTTATATCAGCAATCACGGTCATAATTCATAAACCAGGGGCTTATTATATTGCTTTAATTAGCACACATAAATCGAAATTAATTAATTAAAAAAATTCAAAACCTTTGGCCTTTCATATGTTGCAAATTTA